CTCTCTGCTCGGGGGAGCCTGGTTCCCCCTCCCTCTGCCTGCCTCTCTGCCTACTTGTGATCTCTCTCTGTCAAATAAATAAAAATCTTAAAAAAAAAAAAAGTGTCTTTGGAGGAGGGGGAGGAACAGACTAGGGACAGTTCTGAATGTACTTTATTTTTTTAAGATTTTATTTACATCTGGGATTTCTGTGTGAACGCACCCATTCTGCACAAATATCCGCGTCTGCGGATGTCGGGGCCGAAGCCGCCCCCCAGGGTGGGAGTGCGGGTCGCGGTGTTTCCCCAGACCCGGCCGGGCGTGCGGGTCGGAGGCGGGGCGGCCGGCACACGCGACGCAAGCCACGGACACAGCTCCTGACACTGGAGCGAGAGCTCCGCCAGCCAAATGCGGCACTTCCGACAGTTTTTTTAAAAAGTGGTGAGGTGGGGCGCCTGGGTGGCTCCGTCAGTGGACTGTCTACCTTCGGCTCAGGTCGTGATCCCAGAGTCGTGGCATCACGTCCCACGTCCGGCTCCCGCTCAGCGGGGAGTCTGCTTCTCCCTCTGCTCAGTGTCTCTCTCTCTCTCTCTCTCTCTCTCTCTCTCTCGTGCGCGCTGTCTCTCTGATAAATAAAATCCTTGTTTAAACCAAGTGACGGCGACTCGCGCCTGGCCTGTTCAGTGGAATGAGCCGCTCTTCATCTCGCAATCCTGAGTTCAAGCCCCATATTGGCTGTGGAGTTGTTGTTTTTTAATGAACAAAACAAACACATTAAAAAAGAAAAGTCATGATGATGATGGACTATAGCGCATCGCATCGGAGAAAACATTCACGCCTTCACAGCACCATTCCAGGGGAGGGTGAAGACGGTGTTCTCTACACGGCACCGCAAGCCGGTCAACCTGGGAGGAAAGACGGAGTCGGCAGACGGCCTGTCCGCAGCCCTCAGCGCATCGAGCGGGTCAGGCACGGACGTCCGTGGACGGGGCAGCAGCTGGGCGTGGGGCCCCCGCAGAACAGTGCGCCTCCGGCTCAAACATCAGCCCAGGTGGGCTGCTCACTCGGACGGGAGATCTGCTTGTACCGCTGCCCCCTCCCAGGAGTGACGGAGCCGAGAGGAACCAGAGACGAGCATCGCTTACGTGATGCTCTTTCAGAAGGCTTGATGTGAATCCATGGTGTGGAGACAAGTCCTTTGCTGGCCGTGCACGAGGACGACCAGCGTGGGCAGGGTTCTGGATCAAACGACCACCACGGAGAACGAGTAAACACGATCCGCGCTCCACGCCAGGACCGTGGCCGAGGCCGTTGGAGCCCAGTGACCTAGAGGAGCGATGGACAGTGGGGGTGGAGCGGGGACACGTCTGAGGTCACCTTACTGGGTCAGAGGGGAACTCTTGGCTGTCCTGACATCGCTGTGGTTGTGTAGAAGCCCGGAGGGCCTGGGGCATCGATGCCGATGTACTTAGGGATGAAGTACCGTGCGGTCTTCTGGCTTTGAAAGGGAAAAAATAGTAACAACAGAAGAACAAAGCAAGTGCGAAAAGTTAACGGGTGAATCTAGCGTCAGGCTCCGTGTGCGTTCACCGTGCTACTCCCGCAGCGTTAACGTGGGTTTGAAATTTCTCAGCATAAAATCTTGGGGTAGAGGAAGTGCGGGCTGCCGCGGCCCGGGGAGCGTGGTGGGGCCGTCTCCCACAGCCGCAGAGTGAGCATGGGGTCCCGTGGTGGCAGGGACCACGGAGCCAGCACGGTGTTGGAGCCGCCTGGAGAGAGGCCTCGGCACTCAGTGCTGGGGGGACGGCGTGCACACCAGGGCACTGGGGAGTGACGCGGCAATGACCAGCTAGTCCCGATGAGGGACCCAGAGAAGGCCATGCTGGGAGGGCCAGTCCGCGGTAGGGGAGCCGACACGGGGCTCCTGCGGTCGTCCAGGCGAGCGGCTGGAAGCCACGGTCAGCTCTGGTGGCACAAGGCAAGGGGCTTGGCCACATCTGTCGGGGGCTCCAGGGCGCGGGGCTCACTGAGCAGCCAGGCCGGCCAGCAGCTGTCTTGGGGCAGCCATTCAGCAAGCCCCCAATTCGTGGGGACAGTCCGCACTCTCCCGGGCCTTCCCCACACCCGTCGGGTGTCAGTCCTTTGGAGTCCCGTCTCTGCTGCCCCATTTCCGTGGGCGTGTCAGGAAGGGGGGGCCCCGCGTGGAAGTCCTCTTCTTCTCTGATGGCCTCTTTCATGCCAAACTGCCCTCCTGCCTCTGCTCCATCCTCCCTTGCCTCAGCCTTTAACCTCCCCACAGTCGGCCTCAGAGCCTCTGCTTAGGCTCCACGCCCAGGGACCCAGCAGCCCAAGGGTCGTTTGCATCCAGCCGTGCTTGCTGCTGCTGGCGAGTCTCCCTCCTCTGGTTCTGGGGTGGGTTTTCCTCCGTGAAGCTCTCAAGGAGAAGAAAATGTCCGCCTCTGTTGCTGGAAGGATTCTCGATGCTGCAGACGCCCTCCATGGCCTGGGGGGCCTTCCATCATGCGCCACGGCGCTCGGCCCAGGTCGGGGGCAGAGCAGCGCAGGCTGAGAGTCCCCGTCTCTTCCGGGCTTTGGGACAGGTGTGTTCCCAGGGCCGCAGAGTCCATCAGAGGCCACGAGGGGGCCTGACCTGCCCCAGGACGAAATGGGCCTTCTCCTGAGCTGGCGAGGAGGGGTTCACACCTGTGTGGGGTCACCCAGTGGTGGGGGGCATGGATCCAACCCAAGACAGCACAGGAGCGGCTGGGGTAAGAGACTTTCCACCGAGATCCATTCTGAGAACCCTCTCAGCGGGGCCGGGACAGAGCGCTTACCCCGTGTCTGCGGAAGCTCTGCGGTGCCCTCCTCCACTCGCCGCAGTGACCATGTCCCAGGTTTGCACCCCTGTGCCTCACGCCGTGTCTGGAGCGGCGCCGTCTGGCAGAACATTCTATGGTGCCGTGCGTGGTCCTGGAGTGTGGTCGCCACGAGCCACACGTAGCTGTGGAGACCTTGAAATGTGGCTCGTGCAGCTTTGAAACTGAGTCTTAAATTTTATTTCAAGTGTAAATTTGCGTAGCTCCTTGTGGCTGGTGGCTGTTAAGACAGCACGGGTCTGGGTGCTGGGACGCCATTTAGTTTCACGGCGCCGTGAGTGACACGCGGGCTGCGGCGCAATGACGGCAGGACGCATGTCACGCCGAACGGTCACGGGGGTGAGTGCCGCTCCCTCCCGCACCTTCTAGAACACTGGATGCTGAACTCAGCGGAGGGCCCGCCGTGGGTGGAGGGGTCAGGTGGGCGGGACCCATGGAGTCAGGTCCTTGGAATACAGCTGGAGTTGGAGCTGCTGGCCGTGCACCCTCTTGTCTGGCGTCCGGATGCTGTACCGGGCTGTGGAGTGGGAAGGACATCGGGGAGCAGGCCCAGCACGGGCAGAGGCAGGAGCCAGAAACCAGAGCAGGTGACCGGACCGTAGACCCAACAGTGAGAAGAAGCGCCGCCCTGGGCCCGCAACTGCCCCAGGCCACCCAGCAGTCGAGGGAGGGGGCAGCCCCACTGTGCACATGCTGGTGCGGCGCGGGGGTCCAGGGCCGTGTGGGGGCCGGCAGGACTCCCTGCTCCACGCTGCGGCCCAGCTTTCCTGTGGACCCTAGGAAGCTCTGCGAGTCCTGAGCAGCGAGAGGACGCAGGCGGGTTTGCATTTCCTCAAAGTGACTCTGCTGCTCTGTGGCCGGTTTCCATCCCCAGGCCCTTCTGGGCTCACTTGCGGCTTTTTCTGAACGAGCCGCTCCAGTGTCTGGTCTGGTTCTTTGTTTCTCTTCCTCCTTTCCTGCGTCGCTCTCTCCTGGGCCCCGCGCTCTCCTCTTCCCTGGTGTCCTTCTCTCTCTGATCCAAAGACCAGCCAGTAGAAAGCATCTCACCGTCCGGGTAAGAGGGGCAGCAGAGTGAGGGGAACTTCTCTTTGAAGCGTCAGAGGGATCTTCACTCTGGGGTGTGTGTGTTACCCGAAGCGACCTTCACGGGACTGACTGTGGTGGGTGCATTCAAGCCTGCAGCTCCCGCCCTGTGCCCCGGACACGCAGCCTCTGGCCTTGGGCGGCCTGGGTGGGGGTTTCTCTCGGGTCCTCCCAGAGGTGCTTCCAACATTGTGTACACACGCGAACGAGTCTGTAAACACAGAAGCACATGGTTCCCTTCCCGCTCTTGTGCCCACCTGCTCTGTGCGCACGGTTCTGCTCCCTGCTCCCTTCACCCCACCAGACATCCCGGAGGCCACTGGGTTCACTTGGTCGCCCCCCACACACGGCTGAGCGACCCCCCAGTCACACCGCAGTGTTCTGGCCCTGCCACCTGCAGAAGCCTTCCCACGAGTCCGTACTTTGCCTCTGCCCACGGTGCCTTTCTGGTCACTTGCTGGAGGTGCACCTGAGGATCCCCGTCGGAGGGGCGGCAGGTGCACTCTTCCGGGAGGGAGAGGCATGGCAGTGCCTGAGTTCACCGCACCGCACAGGGGACCCGTTCAACACAAGCTCGGGGGTAAATCTGGTTCGGTAACCTTGAGGTTTTAGGGTCTTTACAGTTGCTGAGCGAGGTACCCCAGGCTGGCTGCCGGCGGGGTGTGTGTGGGTTGGAATATGGCCACGGACAGGCCAGGCTCCCGTAGCCCACAGGATAGGCGCGTGTTCAGAGGCTCGGGCCATCGCTGGGCCCCTCCTTTCTAGAGAGGCGTGTGCTGGTTCCCCAACAGCTTAGTATCAGATGCCCAGTGAGCCTCCTGGAGATGCCGGTTTGGTGGGGGTGGGGGGCAAGATGAAACGCAAGTCGGGGAGGCCGTCCGCCGTACCCACTGCCGTCCTCTGCTGGGTGCATGTGGGTCTCCGTGTGGCTCTGACACTCCATGGTCTCGCTCTCTAGTCTCCCTTTCCTTTGCAAATCACCGCCTAAAACTAACAAGCATTTTATTTTTTCCTGTCTTTTTCTTGCACCCATTTTTCTGCTGCTTCCTCCTGTCCCATCAGCCCCACTGCAGCCTGGTAAGACCCAACAAGCGTGCGTCTGTGCACATCCCATCCTCGCGCGGCTCCGTCTCCCGACCCCGGGGAGGGCTCTCGCCCTTCACGCTTCGCTGGGTGTCAGACCATGCCTGCCCTGCCAGCCCAGGCTTCCAAATAGGTGGTGTTGCCAGTGGTGTAGACCTGGTTCATCTCCCACCAGGTTTAGCGGGTTCTGGGGTGAGAGGGTTGGCCTCTCTTTACCCAAGACTCGGGGCCCCTTTTACCAGAACCTAACGCTGGTCCCTCCCTGCGCAGCTCACCAGTGTGCTTTCCTTACCCGCCAGGTTAAGCAGCCTGTCTCTGGGAGACCCGGCGCCTGAACGCAGGTCCCCTTCCCACCTCCGCCAGCCGTTGGACACCTCTGAGACAGCAGGTGAGCTTGGGCGCTGACACCGACGCCGACACGAGCGCCGCCACCGGCAGATCTGAGCTCACAACGTGTGTGAGGTGTGACGTTACACGTTTTATATATAAACTGCCTCAGTCGTCCTCCTGTCGACTCTGGAAAGTAGATGTTACCGTGCTTTACAGCTGAGGAAGCGGAGGCACAGAGGGCTCAGAAACTGGCCCCGCACACGAGCTCAGAGGGGACGGAGGCAGGTATGAAGCCCGTTGGGTTCGCACTCTAGAGCTCACGCTCCGTCCATCTCAGGAGAAGGTCACACATCGGCAGGCGCGTGTGAGTCCAGTCACACCCACAGGGACGTGGCCGGCCGGCGGTCCCAGCTTTCTTATCCTGCACGTTCTGTGCACGGACATACATGTGAAAAGAAGGGGTTTTCTCTTTCCACGCACCCTTCCCTGGATTTGGCAGGGTCCCCCCCCCGGGTCATCCCCGTCTGCGAGCTGGTGTAGCACGCCACGCCCATGGGGCTTCATTGGATGGAAAACCCCAGCCTCCCTTGGGCCTGTCACAGGGCTGCTTTTCTGTCATGTCCGTCCTCAGCCAGACCCAGAGAGTCAGCCCAGTGCGCAGAGGAGGGTCGCTCCTCGGGTGTAACGCAGAGTCGGGGACAGGGTGCTATCACTCGCCGAGTGTAGTGTTTGGACAGGAGGAGTCTGGGGAGTCCGTTAGTCTGGGAAGGCTTTCTGGAGGAGGCAGCGCTGCGGCCTTCCCGGGCTTGTCTTGATTGTGCGCACCAGCCTTCCAGCGGCTGTGCCTCCGTAACCCCTTGTCCTCTGTCATCTCTTGTCAGGTCTTGTCCAGCGCTGCGTCATCATCCAGAAGGACCAGCATGGCTTCGGCTTCACAGTCAGCGGGGACCGTATTGTCCTGGTGCAGTCCGTGCGGCCTGGTGAGTGCTGCCTCCCCGGCCTGCCCGCGTGCGACAGCCGCATGTGCCACAGCCACCGGAGCCAGGCAGCACGTGCTTTCTGCACGGCGTGGCGAGTTCTGGGCGTGAATGCCTACCTCCAGACCTGGTCCCCGGGGGCGCCTGGGGGCGTCATCAGAGCCCCGCGCACCTCCACGGGATTTCTGGGGTCGCGCTGCGTGCTCGCGTCGTGCTGGGAAGGGTGGGAACAGCCGGCGACCCTCGGGATGGCAGGGCCCGCGCTGGGTCAGGGGATGCTGCGGCACCTCACAGTGCAGGATGGGACGTGCCGGTCCCTGTGGTCACCCGCGTTGGCGGGTGCAGCGACCTTAAACGTGACTGCAGGAGGAATGACGAGTGTGGGACAGCAGGGAAGGGCGGTGTTGGGAGATCTGTGTGCAGGCCGTTTGTGCCCGAAGGCTTCCTGGAAGAGGGGGTTTGGGGACTCGTCTGGGAGGCAGGAATGAGAGCTTGCTGCTGGGATAGGGATCGGGTGGGAAGGGAGCGGAGTGGGACGGCCCGCGCACAGGTCAGTCCGGCCACTGCGCACCTGGGGAAGAGCCACCAGCGGCAGGACCGAGCTGGCCGGTGACCGCGGCTGACACCGACCCGCAGGAAGGAGCACGGAAGCCTGTGAGGCCCGTGTCCTGGACAGAGCGACCGGCACTGCGGCAGACGGGCCGGGCCACTGAGGTGGAGAGCGTACGGGCTCCAGAGTACAGCCCCCGGCAGAGGCGAGGCGGGCTCGCTCCCCGTCGGACGGCCGCAGTAGAGCAGATGGCACCGTCCAGCGTGTCACACGCGTGACTCGGGTTCCCAGCAGGTGAAGCACGTGTACGCTACCCTGTGCTTGGCCGTGAGTGGTCGCGCTAGGTGCAGAAGCATGATGTTCACGTCTTCACGAAAAGCACCTTCTCGCTCGTCCGCCAGGCGTAAGCTCTATGCTGGCGGCCGCTGAAGGCCATGGGGCCGTGGCCGTTTCCTAGAGTCACACAGTGAAGTTTGTGGCTTCAACAGACGCCCCCGCTTCCGTGAGCGATGTCCCTGCGGCCCAGTGCCCTGTGCTGCAGCTCGATAGCACCGCAGACCCGGGAGTCCTTCCCTGAACTGGGGACACTCCTGTCCCGCCTGCCGCGGCGCGCTCTACTGGGTTAACCGAGACCCTCAGTGGTCACAGCGGCCCGCACAGCACCCTCCGGGAAGAGCTCGGAGCCTCTGTGAGGAGAGCTCCTCACGCGTTCTGACCTCACAGACCACAGCCCTTCCGGCTTCACACCCCTGCCCCGGGTCCAGTTCTGGTTCTGCTGCTGTTTGCACGTCTGCGGACACATCTCCAGCAGAGTTCGGAGTCCCTCACGGTCCTCCATGAGGACTGCGATCGGTCCCCAAACCCTGCAGAACATTGGTATCGGACGTCTTCCCACGAACCGTTGATGTTCTCAGTGACATCGAGAATGACGAATTCTTTCCACAAGGTTTCCTGGTGACTTTGCCCAGATCCTCAGCAGAATCATCTGTGGCAGCCACAGCCTCACAAAATGTATTTGTCAAATAATAAGACTTGAAAGTCGGGGCGCCTGGGGGACTCAGTCGGTGAAGCGTCTGCCTTCAGCTCAAGGCGTGAGCCCAGAGTCCTGGGATCGAGTCCCACATCGGGCTCCCTGCTCATCGGCAAGTCTGCTTGTCCCTCTGCCTGCTGGTTCCCCTGCTCGTGCTTTCTCTCTGACAAAAAAAATAAAGTCTTTAAAAAAACAAAAAAAAGACTTGAAAAGCGAAACCACTTGTTGATCCCATGAGCTGCAGAGCAGGCGTCGTATCGGCGGCCACGAAGCCAACACCCCTACCTCATCCATCTCCGTCAGAGCTCAGGGGTGGCCACGTGCCCAGCGTGGGGCTGGAACTCCCGACACTGAGATCAGGAGTCGCATGCTGTACCAACCGCACAGCCAGGGTCCTCTGTCAGGGGCGTTTTGAAAGGGATCTGTGTTCCCAGCAGGTCTCGGGGTGGAGCTCAGACATTCCGTCAACCCTGCCGGGGACAGGCGTGTGGCCCTCCGGGCTCTGCCGGGCCGTTTCTCGAGCCCCTGTGGTGTGGAGTCTGTGTCACCCTGCAGGGCCCTGGGATTCCCGGAGCGGCCCCTGAGCGCCGGCTTCCACTCACCGCCCCTAACGACACAGGGACCCTGTCCCCTGGAGCCCGCAGCCAGGCCCTGCCCTCTCCTCTCCAGCTGCGGGAGTCCTGGCTGCGCCCCCTTCCCGGGGAAGGCTGCTTCGTCCCCACGGAAAACCAGCTGGTCAGTGTGGCACCTTCAGGGACTCTCTGAGCTACGCCTTCTGGAGCACCTGCTGCTTCACCGGCCACTTCTGGGTCACGGACACGGCTTCTTTCCCGACAGCCCCCTAAACCCACTGCTTCCTGCTCCAGACCAGACTTCATCCGAAGGGGACACGGTGGCCACCAGGACGCTCGGCCCGGGCCCCTCCGACTCAGGACTGGACTTCGACCAAAAGGGACGCGGTGACC